TTTTACTTGTAAATTTGATACATAAANTTACAGGATACACTTCATTCAGAGGGGATGAAGAAATACAGGAAGGAGGCATAGAGCAGCAGTGCTCATTAGAGGTACTTCTTTATCATAATATATTCAAGATCCTTATTTTTTTTTTCTGTTTCAAAACAGGAAGCAACACAGATTGAAACCAGTCAGGACACCATCCAGATTGAATTCAGCCAGGATGTGTGCACCACTCCTTCAAGGCAGTTAACAAAAACCTTGGGCGAGTGCTCCAGAGTGTCTGGTACACCAGTGGGCATAATATTAGGGGAAAAAAGTAATATAATTCCCTATTTGTATTCATTATGCAGTTATAAATAGCAAATATTTATTTCTTTGTTATTAACATATTATGATCAAAAAAATAATTTAGTTTTCTATTAATGTAGTACAACTTTTTTTTTCTTTTTAAAAATGAGTAACATCTTTGTTTGTATGGAAATTTTTCTTTATTAATTTTTGTAATGTTGCTGGCATGTCAATTTATGTAGAAGAATTTATTAGTTTTTCTGATTCACACAATATGAGCTTTAATATGAGTCATTTTTACAGAAAAGCCACGCCACTCCAGCCCATTGCTTTTAAAACTGCAGCAGAATTCTTCGAAGAAATAAAAAAACAGGAGGCTGCACTCGAAAGAATGGTGGCAGCAGCCGAAAGGCAGGCAGAGGAGACTGCTCTGCTGAATAGCACGTCAGCCACGATTAAAGATCTGCTATATGCAATCTTGGGAAATGGTAAGTATTATAAACAGGAATTTAATTTAATAATTTTAAATAGTTTAAAACAGTCAATTGTAGAATTATGTTGTTGAGTGTCATACTAAAAAGTAGTTAAGCTTAATTTACTGAAAAATTTAGTAATTATCTATGTATGTTATAGTTTTAAATAAGCAGGAAAAATTCTGAGACTAGTTACTGAACATCAATAACTTTTTTTCCACAATTAATTATAAAGTACTTCGTTATATAATCTGTTTCTAACACTCCTGACCACAGAACTTGATTGTATTGCTTTAATAAGAAATTTATCACATTCATCTATATTTTGTTTATTATGAAAAAATTCTTGTGTTTTTTATATGGTATATTTCAGATAATTTAGCAGATATTTTGAAATTTCAAGTATTATATCAAAATCATTAATACATCGAATAGCAATATATTTTTGATCATTTGTATAGGATTATGAAATAATTTTTATTATACTACTTATAATTAGATCAAATGTTTGTTATAATTATTTATTTTTAACATTATTTTTTTTTATTCCCCTTTACAGATGAATAAATATTTGAGATGTGTACAATAACATTTTGGGAAACAATTTTAATTATGATTAACTTAAAAGTCAATGTTTTTAAAGGGGGCACTTAACCGAAGGCCAGGCCCTGGGCCGATTTTCATCTTAGTCGGCCCCTCGTGTCACCCAACGACACCTTCACCAATTTCAATGGGACATTTTCGAACACCCACCATACAGTCTCGACCTTGCACCAAATGATTATCATCTTTTCCCTGAACTGAAGCAGTGGCTTGGAGGGCAGTGCTTGCAAACTGACGCGGAGCTCAAAGAAACCGTCACAACGCACTTCCAATCATTGGCGGCTACATTTTATGAAGAGGGTATTGCAAAGCTGGTTCACAGATATGCCAAATAAGCTGTATTGTACATTACTTTTGGTAATAAAATCTTTTTTGTATATTGACCCGACTTTTTTTTACAGCCCATCGGAGGTTAAAAAAAATCCCTAGTACATATGATAGTATGGTAAGAATATTAAAGAAAAACTATATTAGATATACCTCTCTTAATGTTAGCCTTTTTGATTTTTTAAATTTTAATCAACCACTGAATATGCCGGTGGAACGTTTCATAGCTCAAGCTACCTTAAAGAGTAAAGCATTAAATTTTGGGGAGGTAGAAACGGAAGCGGCAGAGGTTCAGCGCAAGCACTTATTAGATGCTAAAAAGAATTATAAAGCCCGAAATCTTGAGAGGAGTGTTAGCTGGAGACTCGCAGGATAGGACGGAGTTAAAGAGGGTGGCAGTGTAGGAAGAAAACTCAATAAACATGACAGTCAGTTCTTTGAATCCTTTTGCCCAACCGTTTAATGGACAGGCTGCAATACACAAACAGGAGGAGGTATATGTAGCGGAACCTACCAATAATTTAGCTGAAATGTGTCACAAATTAACAGCACAGGTTATGTCATTAACAGAAAAGGTAGAACAGTTACAAAAGTCACAAACTAGTTACCAAAATTTTAAGAAAGATAAGAAGTTATAGATGTAATATAGAGAAGCCACAAAGCAAAAGTTTTTATACAGAAACTATTTGCTAAGAATTTTCTATTCAATTTTAAAATGAAAAAAAAGGTTTGTAAAAAAATGAGCAAGAGTAAGAGAGGTTTGACGCAAGAGGAAATCAATAAATTACTCTTTGCGTCTGATACAAGCGAAAAAGAATTATTAAGCGAGGATGATGGTTGGCCTCTACAATCTCTATCAGAACAAGTTGAAGAACACTTAGGAAAAGATTCAGATAATAAAATAGATGACCATCTTAGTCAGGATTCAGAAATAACCTTATTGGACATAACGTGGACTGAAGATGTGTCGAATGATTCGTTTAAAAACATTGAAAACACGTTTGAAGGCGGACCTGTTCACAATTTGGACCCTTCTTCTGAACCCTCAACATATTTCAAACTGATATTTTCCGATGGCATGCAAAGTCATAATGGAAAATACAAACAAATATGCCGAATATGCTTTTAAGGGAAAAAATCTGTCAAACACAAAATGGGTGCCTATTACAGATATCGCGGCGACATGGGCGTTCATGCCTTGTCTGTTTATAATGAGCGTTTGCCGCGTCCCACTTATTACGGATTATTGGTCCAACAATCCTATCTTCACTAACTTAAAAGTGAAATCAACAATCACCCGAGACAGATTTTTCGATATCTGAAGATTCCTACATCTGACCTCGAATTCTACTATATGCAGAAAGACGATCCTTTTCTCACTAACACGAGGAAGAATTTTCAGCAACATTTTGAACCTCATAAGAACTTGTCAGTTGATGAAGCTTTATTAAAATACAAAGGACGACATGATATTGTCCAATACATGCCCCAAAAACGTGCCGATAGGTTTAAAAGTGTGGATGATGTGCACTTCCTCCCTTGGCTATGTTTTAAACTTCGAGGTTTATTGCGGAAAGCATGATAGTATTCAAAGAATTGGTTATGATGTAGCGACTCAGCTCAGCAGCTTTTTAACGCCTGGAAAAAACTATCATATTTATTTTGATAGGTGTTTCACGTGTATCCTCCGCACAATGGACCTCATGAAAAAAAAGCTGTAAGCTTGACGATGTTGGATACTAAAGTATTCCAGTGCGTTGAATTTCCTTATCTTTTGTGTACGGGCTGGAATGATAAAAAGAAAACTTTTGCTGTCCACAACTGTAAATAGAAGAACTGTTAAGACACTCAATTTCTCTACAGTGTTTTCAGATTACAACAAGTTTATAGGTGGTGTTGATCTGGCAGAACGAAAGCGAGAATACTGTGAATCCGGGGGGAAATTAAGAATTTGGCGGTTGTATGTGGACGTTTTTTAGACAATGCTGCCTAAAGATGTCGTTTCTGCTTTCACTTTTCAGAGGCAGATTTTCTTAGTGTTTTTCAAGCATTGGCATATCGGAAACTGATTCTTACTTAAAAATATTATAAGTATGTTTCAATTCTCTTTTCTAGAAAAATGTTACTGTCATATGTTTTCACAAGGCAATTCTCAGGTTTCGCAGAATTTCATTTGCCCTTTTTTCCCAAATAGTGTAAAAGAAAATAACAATGCCTTTCGTTTGTGTTTGAGTAAAATCATGCAAACAAATATATAAGGAAAAGCAGGTAAAAAGATAAATAAATGCAGGCGGCAAAATATAAAGCAACACAATAAAACTTCAGAGTTGATGTCAGAAACTATTGTAAACTTCAAGACCAATAACGTAGTTTTAGAAGAAAATTAGATTAGCCATTCAAAACTGCTCTAGTAGTAGTAAGAGTCAACAATTTTTTTTAAAAACTTTTAGTTGCACCTCATGAAGTTTTGAGTCGTAGATAATATTTGCTAAGATTTTTCTATTAATTTTTTTTAAAAAAAATTAAAGTTTGTAAAAAAATGAGCAAGCGTAAGAAATGTTTAAGGCAAGAGGAAATCAATGAATTACTCTTCGCGTCTGATACTAGCGACGAAGAATTAATAAGTGAGGATGATGGTTGGCTTCTACAATCTCTATCAGAAGAAGTTGAAGAAGACTTAGAAAAAGACTCATAAAATAAAATAGATGACCATCTCAGTAAAGATGAAGAAATAAACTTGTCGGACATAACGTGGACAGAAGATGTGTTGAATGATTCGTTTAAAAACATTGAATACAAGTTTGAAAGGCGGACCTGTCCACAATTTGGGTCCTTCTTCTGAACCCTCAGCATATTTCAAGCTGCTTTTTTCCAATGACGTGTGCAAAATCATAATATAAATGGAAAATACAAACAAATATATTCATAGGCGAAAAAGATCTGTGGAACATAAAATGGGTGCCTATTATCGCTGAGATATGGGATTTAATATCTTGTGTCTTTATAATGAGTGTTTGCCGCACCCCCCATATTGCGGATTGTTGGTTCAACCATTTTATTTTCACTAACTTAAAAGTGAAATCAACAATGACCCGAGACAGATTTTTCGATATCTAGAGATTCCTACATCTGTCAGACCGAGAAAAGGAGAAACAAACATCTGACCCCGAATTCTACTACTCGTATATGCTGAAAGTCGATCCTTTCCTTACTGACATGAGGAAGAATTTTCAGCAACATTTCGTACCTCACAAGAACTTGTCAGTTGATGAAGCTTTGATAAAATACAAAGGACGATTTGGTATTGTCTAATACATGCCTCAAAAACCTGTCAAGAGAGGTTTAAAAGCGTGGATGATGTGTACTTCCTCTCTTGGCTCTCTTTTAAACTTCGAGGTTTATTGTGGAAAGCATGATTGTATTAAGAGAAGTGGTCAAGGAATGGGTTATGATGTAGTGACTCAGCTCAGCAGCATTTTAACGCCTGGAAAAAACTATCATATTTATTTTGATAGGTATTTCACGTGTATCCCTCTGATGATGGACCTCATAAAAAAAAATTGGCTCTTGTGGAACTTCGAATACTTGCCGAAAGAGTTGAAAAGCTGTAAGCTTGAAGATGCTGGACAGTCTAAAGTATTCCAGCCCGTTGAATTTCCTAATCTTTTGTGTACGGTCTGGAAAGATAAAAAGAAAATTTTTATGTTGTCCACAACTAAATCCGCGACTACCACAACTGTAAATAGAAGAATTGGTGGTACCGTCAGCTCACGCGATTGTCCCACAGTGTTTTCAGATTACAACAAGTTTATGGGTGCTGTTGATCTAGCAGAACAAAAGCGAAAATACTATGAATCTGCGCGGAAATCAAGAAAGTTGTTGTTATATGTGTTTTGGTTTTTGTTGGACACTGCTATCTACAATTCTTTAAATATTTATTCGCTTTCACAGCCACCAACTAATAAGGAACATAAAATATTGTTGGACTTTAAAGTAAGTCTCATCGAGGAATTGTCCAAAGGAATTCTATTTCCCATAGTCTGAGTTCATCTGCCAATTCAAACCCAAATCATCTTCATAACAGACGCAAAACATCTACACCTAGAAGATGTCGCAAAAGTGTGAAGCTAAAAATAAAAACATTTGGCAACAATGCCGTTAGAAGCTCTTGGATGTGTCAGGCATGCAATGTATGCCTTTTGCATGGATTGTTTCGGTCCATATCATGACGAATTATAATCTTAGCCGCGAGCAGGTAAAATTACTATTGTAGATACTTTTTTCTTCTTCTTAAAATCCCTTTCTATGCATTCAAATATTAACATTTTCCCTTAATGAAAATTAATTACATTTTTCAATTAATGGAAATCTTTATAACCACTTTCTTTCTCATCAAAAATTTATCTTTAAATTGTAAATTGTCATGAATTTTTCTTTGGAGTAAATTTTTTTAAACATTACTATCCACCGATTAATTTTATTTACTTTATAAATGCTGTGAAACAATTTTTTTAATCGAGTTTACCCCATATTTTATTATATTTTTTATGATTGCTTCACTCACAAAAAACAGTTCCCATGTGATGTAAAATGTTGACGGATATAAATAATTTTTTATAAAACGATATCTGATAAAGATTCTCCAAAATATGCATTTTAATAATATACCTTTAAAATAATTTTTGTTGTTTTTTTCATTGTAAATATTTTATTTTATTAAGTAATTAGGCGTATAATTATTTAATTTTATGAAGAAAGTCTCCTAAAAATCTCTTTACCTAGATAATTGAAGTTTATTTTATAACTCAATCCTAGTGAAATTTAACATATACTTAGCATACATTTATTTAATTCACGTCTTCTTATGCATTTTATGATTGCTTCTTGTACATAAAAATTCCGTTGTGATGGAAAGCTTTCAAATTTAAATCGAGTATGAAAGAATTTTTTTGTAAGATGATATCTAATAATAATTGCTCTAAATTTATTTTAGTGATACGCTCTTTAAATTTCTACTATTTAGATCATTTTTATTATTTTATTTTTCAGTAGTATATTTAAATGTATAAGTATTTTAATTGAAATTTATAATGAAAATCACACAATTTAATATTTTTAGTTCAATTTTAAATATTTATGTGTGTGCATTTACTTTGGGCATTTTTGTATAGAAAAAATGTACTTTTATTTTTCTCTTTTTTGGACACTTTCAGATCTTTCTTTTTCATAGTTCATTCCTGGTGAAATTTAATATATACTAAGCGTGCATTTATTTATTCGAGGTCTTCTTTGGGATTTTATAACTGCTTTTTTACTAAGTATTTCGTTGCTATCGAAATTTTTCTTGTGCCAGTTTATAGGATAATAAGTGATAATAATGATTGTATCAAATCTATTTTTTATGATCGGTATTTTAATTAAGCACCTTTTACGTTATTTTTAATATTTTCTTTTATATTATAAATGAATGGTTTTATAAATAAAAGTTACTTAAAAATATCTTGTTTAGCTACAATAATTTTCTATATTTTAGTTTTGCAATTGATTATTTCTTACTAATTAATCAAATGAAGATGATAATAATAAGTGTAATTAAATTTTGCTTGCCAATGAGATCAAATATGATTTACTCATTTAAAAATGCTATTAAGGATGAGATAATTTGAACAGACGAAAAAGAGTCTTCCACTCTTATTTAAAATTTCTCGAAAGATTAAAAAAGAATCAAGAGCGAAAGAAGAAAAAATAAAGCATAATTTATTACTCTTCTATTTGATAGTCGCCAAAAAGGTGCTAAACTTTTATTTTCGGAAAACTCTTAGTTCTAGTAAATCTCTATTTTGCCGCATAAGCGATTTTGAATACTCGCCTGCGAGAAAACGATGGGAACCCCTCACAGGTAGATAGCTTTGGACAAATTCAATCATAGAAACTGCTTTTAGAAAATTCCCGTAATGATGGGACACAAATTCTAGGAGTCGGTCGGAATCATAGAGTTAACAGATATGAAGAAAATAAAAGTGAATCTAGGAGTCGAAAAACTGATAATTTTGAAATACATCACACTATTTTTGAATGGTTTAATAAAATGTGTGGTATGAATGCTAGAGTTTCTGGACCCTTGCTACAAGAAACAGCTGTAGAGTTTTCAAAAAACCTCAATGTAGAAAATTTTACTGCTTCTAATGGCTAGTTAGAATCGTTCAAGAAACTTTTGTGTGGAGAGTTACATGACGTTTATATGGAAACAGATTTCTCTAAAAAACGAACTTCTGGTTTGTTGGAGAATTACAAGAACGAAGACATATTCAACGCCGGTGAATGTGGTTTATTTTATCGTGCAATGCCAAACAAAACATTAGCTACGTCTGGAGATAAATGCAAAGATGGCAAGATATCAAAGGAGAGAATCACCCTTTTGCTTTTTTGCAGTCTAACAGGAGAGAAACCGAAACCTCGTGTCAAAGGAAAAGCCAGAAAACCCCGCTGTTTCAAAAAAGCCTACGTCAAAAATGTACATGTTTCGTGGTATGGAGATAAAAACGCATAGATGACACCTTCTATTTTTACTGAATGGATTATGCAATAGTACAAGCAGATAAGTCCAGCTCATCCAAGCGATTCGTCCATTTCAAATGTGAAAGTACAGTTCCTACCTGCCAATCCCACATCACATTTACAGCCGCTTCATCAAGGAATAATTCAAGGTTTACCATAAGAAGTTCCTTCTCTAAGCTATAATTGCGAGAGTTGAAGAATGCAAATCAGCAAACGAAATTGCTTCATGCATAAACGTTCTCGATGCCATTATGCGGATTAATAACTCGTGGAATTTGGTACGCCGATCGGCAATTCGCAACTCGGCTATAGTACACCCAATTTGGGTATACTATAGCCGAGTTTACCCAAATTGAAAATTTTAATAAGATTCTGAAAATATATTTTTGTTTCTTTTTGCATTATATAATTAATTTAGTATAGGAGTCTGAACAAGATGTCATTTCTTTCAAGCTGTGGGTTGCCCTTTTTATTTTTTTTAATTGAGAAAATGAGAAAATTTTTAGTTTTATTTTTGGTATTCATATAATGGTTTTCTTAATAATTTTAATAAATTTAATCTTTGTCTCTCAAAAAGGTCTCCTTCTACAAGTGTGGACAACGTTCCAGATAACGGAGCCACAAGCAGTCCTGAAGTTGTTGATTTGCCACCAGCAAGAGCGATTGCAACTCAGACTGAAGATGATGTTGTTTCTGCCTTGGCTCTGGAAGAAGAGTTAAAACTTTCAATATTGATGCCATTCCAGATGATGTTCATATGAGAGCTGTCACCGGATTCTCTAGAAATATTTTTCACACTGTTTTTAATTCCTTTGCCTTAATAACTGCACGGAATATGTTAATAATCTGTCTCCTATTAATCAGTTTTTTCTTGTTTATCTTCGCACTGGTGTATCCCAGAACTTTTTATCTCTACTATTTCATATTTACCAAACAACTGTTTCTAAAATTATTAACCATCAATCCCATATTATTTTTTCTAAATTAAAATCTGTTGATACCTGGCTTTCTCGTGAATCTGTTAATAAAAGCATGCCTTTAATTTTAAGAAGATTTTCTAAATGTCGCCTAATAATTGATTGCACAGAATTTCCTATCCAACAACAGACCTTTAGCCAGTATAAAAATACTAACACTTTATAAGCTTTAATTGGCATAACTCCTTCCGGTGCCATCTCCTACATATCTGATCTCTGGGGTGGCTCAATTTCTGATAAGGAATTGTTTTTAAATCTAGATTACTAGAAAAATTAGAAAAAGACGATCTCATCTTGGCAGACAAGATTAAATTTTCTCCTGCGGATCTGGGCGAGAATAAGGTTGTTTCGAACCACGAGATTCACGTAGAAAGGGCTATATGCCGAATAAAAATTTATAAAATTTTTGAAGGGAAAACTTTGGCCCGCCATTGGGAAATTGCGAATGAATTTTTTTCCATTGTTGCTTTTTTTGCCAACTTTGGCAATCCGTTAATAAATTTTCAAAATTATTAAAAAAAATTTATTGTATATATTTTGTTGTATTATTCATTTATTATATTTTATCTGTATATATTGTATTTTGTTGTATTATCCTTTATTAATTTTATTTTATCTGTAGATATCGTTGTGGCGCCAGTCATGGTGCGTACTCGCCAAAGGAATCAACTGGATGACGTGCACAGGATCGGCAACCTTGGATCTTTCCCCAGTATTTAAGAAGCTTCAAAAATTGCTCTTTGCACACTCATACTTAATTTAACTTTCCTGTTTTTATTTTGTTATGTTTCAGTTAGTAATAAATGTTATTTGATTTTTGTCATAGTTGTCTTCATCTTCATATGAGAAGGCTCCTCCCCCTCAATTGGTGACCCTTGTGTTTAGTATGTTTTTGAATACGCTATTATCCGTTATTTTACAATTTGGAATAACTACTTAAATTTGGTAATGTACAATTTCCTCTCTTAATATATATATATATAAAAACTATGATAGTTTGTAAATTTTCAAAAGTGAATCTTTAACTAGTTGCTTAGTTGGTGTTGCAATGACTGATAAAGATAAAACGAACGGGAACTGAAAATGAAATCCATAAAATTGGCCTTCGCTTACCTGGATTTTGGATTGATAATCCAAGTCTATATTTTACGCAGATTGAGGCTAATTTTAATTTATCAGGGATTACTTCTGAATCTACTATGTATTGCTGTTTAATATCTGTTCTTGATCAGAATATTATGCAAGTAATTGCAGACTTGGTTAGAAACCCAAATTTGGAAAAGCCATACACGGCCGTTAAGGATAGACTTATTGCAGAATTTTCCTTGTCCGAGAGTAAAAGAATTCAAACTTTACTTCAAGACCTAGCATTGGAGGATTCTGAGCCGTCTGCCTTGTTGCGACATATGCGAGAATTGGCAGGATCTAATTTTTCAAATGAGGTTATTAAATCTATTTGGGTATCTCATTTACCCTCATCTATTCAGCCTATTTTAAGTGTTAGTAAGG